GGAATGTTTTTTGGTTTTTCTCTATTCATAGTCTTAAATTCTGACCTACAAGGAGCAATACAAGGTTCTTTCCACTGTCTAAGGTAAGTTTCAAAATAATTGCTTCTCTATAACATGCATACTGGTATTTTTCTATCATAATAAGTTATTAAAATATGAATATCAATAAAATTTACTAAAACTATTGCCAAGAGATAATAAAGGTTAAACTATTCGAACAAATAAGAATGAAAAAACAATCAATCATTACGTAAGTATGTCATAACAATTACATAAGCACAATATTATAACAATTTGCTAGAGGTAAGACTCTTCTTGGGCAATATTCTGAACCACATGTTGTTATTACTGTACTTTTGACTACAAGAAGATTTTGATCTAAGAGGTTTTAAAAAAATTACTCAAAAAACCATTCTGAAAGTCCTCCAAATAAATTCATTTTACTAGCATTTACTAGTTTGGAGTATGATGGTAAACTTTTGGCCCAGAGAACTTTCACTTCTGACTATTGTTTAATTTTCATGTGATCCAAAACTTGAAGAAGAAGATGCATATATGAATTTGGATTGATTATAGCAAAATCATTAGCTTGTTTATGTATATTATAGTGAGTAAAGGTGCTATGGATGAGCGTAAGACTTGTATCTACAGGGCATGTTAAAGTTAAATATAATTCTTTTTTTTTTTTCCTCCATATAGCATCGTAAAAATGACAGCATTACTGTGGGAGTCCGTAGATGATTTAATTGATTTGTCTACCTATTATCAACTCATAAAAACATTATTAAATAAAAAAAAAAAAATAAAAAAATAATTGCAGTTATATTACCTTTTCTTTTTTTTTTTTTGCTTATCATCATATCCGATTATATCAACTAATTGTACTGTTTGTTAATTCTTACTACTATTTGCCAGTGTAATATCTACCATAACCTCGCCATCACCAATAATTTCAACGATTTGAACCTTATAGTAAGGCTCATTCAGTATTGCATTTCAAAGTTAAATAGACTCCTCTGGAATTAACCTGCTTTTCCTTTTATTTTTAGGTCCTCTTTTTTAAGGTAATTTAAGCTCATCTTTGCTATGACCACTAGCATCCTTCTGACGAAGATAAGACTCAAGAGAACTATTTGAAGTTGATTTAGGTACAGATCTATATGAAAAGCAAAGAAAGAATATAAAATGATATATTAGTATAGTATTATCAGTTTAATTGTACATTTAATTTAAAATCTATTATTCATAGATACAGTTCGATGCACTTTTACAATAAAAATAAAATAAATCTACCTTTGCATCTTGTTATTACTATAAGAAATAATGTTGTATAAAGAAGGTATTAATAAATATTTATATAAGAAACTTAATAGAAATAATTCATACTTTCGTGTTTCAAGCTTATTAATAAAGAAACGCACGGCTACAATATTCTGGCAATCATGACTATGAATAATATTGTAACTGCAAGAACAAGCAAATTTTTTACTTTTGCGAGTAATGCAAAGTAGTTTTCTACGTTGTTTGATAAAATAATCATCAATCATTTCTGGGGTTTTTATCTTTTGGCTCTCAAATTTATCAACCTCTAATACTAAGCTTTCTTTGCGAATAATATCAATCTTATCTTCTAGTTCCACAACAGCATCCTGGATATCATCGCTCAAATCAAACTAGAACACATTCCAAGAATTTTCATCAATTTCTAGATCAAGAAAACAAATAAAATAAAATAAAATCGATAAATCAAAGAATTCATAAATAATATATGTTTACCTTGAACTTGATTTTTTTTATATAATAATTTGCCTTTCCTTATAATTTTTTCTTTTTCGCATTGCAATTGTGACTTTGTAGGAGGTTTACCTTCTCCTTGCCAAAACCTACTTAGAAAAAGATTATACTGTATGATATTACAAAAAAAAAAAGAAAGAAAAAGCATATTTAACTAACCTTTCTACCTCTCCAGCATCTACACGCATTGATGATCCAATTTTCTCAAGGTTAGAGTGCAAAGATTTAGTATATCTTTCTCGGTAATGTAGTAACATGTTCTTTTTAAAATAACTTTCTAACTGCATATTTGTTTTCATAGGACAATCATTACGCTTATAATCTGGCCAGGTGTTTTTTGATATAAATAAAACTCTCAATATTTTTTAAAAGGCTAATTATAAAATAACTTATATTAACTGACCAACCCAATTACCAAACCAGTGTGTTCAGAAATAAGATGTAATAGCTTTTGCGGTATTTAACTTTAAAGTTCCAATAGCAGCTTGGAGTTTTTCTGCATCTAAAATAGTAGATTTTCTCTGATCAAATTCTTCCTGATCTCAGGATTGTTTAACAAATCAGAATTGATAAAAAACTCAGTCTCTAATCCATTAATCATTTAGATGTTTCATAAATCATTCCTTCAAAGCATCAGCTAAAAAAAGTGCAAATAGCAAAAAAAATAAAATAAAATAAAATAAAATAAATAAATAAAAATCAAAAATATAATAAATAAATAGACAAAAAGATAAAAGTCAAAAGTTTACCCTCATGCCAATCACATAAAATTACCTGTGTATTTGGAAAGTGTTTTTTAGCCACCACGAGATAAGGGTCCCATTTGTCTATAGTTAACCACTTAGGATTCAGTTTAATATTATTCTTAGCAGTATATTGAATTAACTACAAATAGCCAAAGTTATTATACTGTATTATCTGATAAAGTCTAGAAAAAAACAACTAACAATACTTACTGATTCGAACATCAGATCAACAACCAGTATCGTTTCTTTGTTACTTATAAATGTTGCTATAATTCGACCACGAGGCTCATCCGATCTGATCATAAAGGCTGTATTTAGAAAGTTTAAACAGTTATGATGGCCAGTAGAATCTACTACAAGAAGATCTGAATATTTGGTCAATAGCATTGGCATAATTGATGATGCGATGCCAAGAAGAACAGCTTGCTCTTTGGGATCTTGGGAGTTCTTAATGCCATATTGTTTTGATATTATAACACCTTCAGTTTCGTAAGTATCTATAATAGAACAAACCTTTAACACAATCAAAAATAAACATAAATAAATAGATAAATAAAAGAATAAAAAAAATAAAAAAAAATACATTATTTTTTCGAACTCTAATGCACTTGGATAGTATAATTTTTTATTATACTTGAGAGCATTTTGAATTGCCTCAAGATTAGGTATAAATTGGGTAGAGATTGGTTAAACTTGATTTGCGGATGTACTAGTAGTTATACTAGAAATCTTAGCATCATTTATGAATTCTAAAAATATACAAAACTAATAATGTAAGAATTAATTTTTTTTCAAATTTCTTTCTTAAAAAAAGTTTTTCTAACTTACCTGTTGCTAAAGTTGATGGCGTTACATTTGTAGATCTATTTGTGATTTCCTTTCTTATTACCTTTGCTATTCGATATTGCTTTTTTCTAATATGTTCAGGATCATGGTTACCATGGCACTCGATGTTACATAGATTAATTAGTTTATCTCGAAGAACTACAATATGGCCTTTCCAATTACATTTGCCTTTGTGGCAGCCATTCTGTAACAGTATCATTAGTATTT